CATGCACGCACACACACCTGGCATGAGTTTAAGCCATCAGGTCTAGGACCTGAACTACAGTTGGCTACATGGGAGTCCAGGACATAGCCATTACACTAACTGCTGGTCCCTTTATTAACCATTTTTCATAGTATGTGAATGTTAGATGTCTAACCTTGAAGATACAACTGTTATTTTTTTAAACTAACAGTATAAATATGATGTTGTCTGATCAGTCTTCATTTTTATATTGCCTATGGATTTGAAAACATTTATCAAAGATCTATTCAAGCCATATAAATTTTAAAAGCATTTGGATTAATTTGTATGAGCACTTCTATATGCCTGTAAGCCAAACGGAATAGAAATTTTTTTTGGATTTTTTTTATACATTCAATCATTGTATATCATTACAATATGCAAAATGAATTTTCCTAGCATGGACATACTGCATATTAGTCCAGTTAAAGATATTATCATATGCATTATCATTAACGGATAATTTTCCATTTTTTGACCTTTAAAGGTTTTGTTTCTTTCTTTATCACCTTGGCCCCCTTACTCTTACTTTACCATATAGACACAACATACTACATGTATACATGTACAAACAGATATAGGTATATATAAGAGGACCTTTAAAACATTCATGGAAAATGTGTACTATGAAAAAACACGTATGGATTTCAAAAATCCCTGTACCGAAATTAACTCACACTTTAATTTCATGTTTCCTTGAACCTCTCGAATATCCTCATAGACACAAAGATAAGATCTCACAATTTCGCAGCAAAAATTTTTTCAGTCACTTTTTGTTTCTTTTGAAGTTTCAAATGAGTTTAGGAGTTAATGCAGAGATGTTTTTAATTTGGTTAGGACTGACTTAATATGAATAAGAAAAGGAAAATTTCCAAGCAGCTTTGAATCCTCCTCTCTTACCTTAAAAACATGAGTGAAAAAAGGCAGAGAAAATGGAGAGAAAATAAAAAGCAAAAAGATACACCAGAAAGTGGGAAGCTTTTAAATTCACCAGAAAAGACATAAATAGACAACAGGATTATAGCTATAAATTGATCGATATGATAAAATTCATCCCTAAGGACTTTGCGAGGGGAATGGTTTTAAAGAAGGAATATGGACACACACAGCTCAGATGTGCACTCCTGCAACTGGGGAGGCGAATTTGAACAATGTCGATGATCAAATAGAGCAAGTTTCCCCGTGAAGCACTGTCCCCTAGAATTTTGACCAGTTATCTCCTGCCTTCCAGACTAAAAGTCAATTGCACCTGGTAATGAGACAAGCCCACATGTCCTTTAGGAGGACAGAAAAAGCCCCATCTAGGGAACCAGCAGTTAGTGTAATGGCTATGTCGCTGGACTCCCACGTAGTCGACCGCGGTTTATGTGCCGAACCCAGTGGCTTAGAACTCACGCCGGGCGCGTGTGCGTGCATGCCCAAGATCCCGAGAGGAGAATGGAGGAGAAGGGATTGCGGTGTGACCATCCCCCCTGGGGGGTGATTTCTCGCTTTCTGTCTCTCTGTCTCTCTCTGTCTGTCTGGCGAGCACACGCACCCTATAGCAAAAACCTCTCCAAAAAAAAGAAAACGCCCCATCTTCAGGGACCTCTGTTGCAGAGACACTGAAGACACTTCTTTTAAGCAAAG